GCCCGCTGTTACCGCTAGATTGTTAGTTGGCTCGTCGACAGCACCGCGCTGTCCGGTTTGTATCTACTCCCTCACTCAACTGCACAGCATCGTCACAGAATGGCATTGCTAAGCCAATGCAATCGGGATGCTTGCTGAAAGCTCCCAGCGATCCCAGCGCCTGCCGCCACCACAAGTTCACTACGCATCTCCACTTGACACCCCCGTCCTCCACAGCACATTTCTTCACCACAGAATCAGAATCCTCCTCCAACCGAAGCACCAGCATGGGAACCTCACATATGGCCAACAGGAACTGGTGTTCAAATGCCAGAACTGCAGGCAAATGACCGACGCGACTCCGGCCGAGCCCATTTTGCCCATCGCTGTGGCAGCACTCCGCCGCACGTTCACATCAGGTACCTGACATCCACGTCAGCTCATGACGATGCGGCGTTCAGTACAGCAGTCTTCAGTACAGCAGTCGAAGCCTCAAGCCGCGCTCGAATCAGCGAAACATGCTGAGCAGCTGCAACCCCCAAATTGCCGAGAACGTCCAGTACAGACCTGTACACCCGCACATCGTGCTCCTGAACTCAGTGTCTGGTCAGGATAGATACAAAAAAGAGCACTCACAGCTTCGAGCAGCGCAGACGTACATCGCTTGTCTGCCTTTCCCGACCTGCATGTCCCTGCTGCTCGCCAGGGCTTGTGAATATTGCTAATTTAAAAAACGGTTCACGTAGCAATACGAGTCATACGGGTAAGAACACATATCATACAGCGGCACCAGCACCAGCACCAGCAGGAGTAGCAGGAGCGGCAGGAGTAGCAGGAGTGGCAGCAGCAGCAGCGTAGCAGCAGGTGGCTCAGGAGTAGTACGAGTAGTACAAAGTAGCAGCTCAGTAGTAGCAGTAGTAATCGTCTTTGTCATGGTAAGGAGATTTGTGGTCATGGCAAGACAAGAAAGGAAAACAGCCTTTTCTCACAATACAGGCAGCGTTGACAACAACACTGCTCATCATAATGGAATTGAAGTACGAACAACGCCATAGTCGTAAGCAAGTCAATGCTAATGGAGCGCTAGACATGAATAATCCTGACATCATCTAATAAGAAGATGAACAAAGAGCAATGCTAGATTCAGTAGCGACTAATACTATAGCTGTAGGAAGGCAATGAGGCAGACAACACAGGCGGAAAGCCGAAGCAATGAGCTGAAAGCAACGGGCATGAAAGTGAACATGAGCGAAACCCAGAAGCCCAGGAGGCGGCTAAGCAGAAAGTGTGTATGTGAAGCAGCCGGCTACCTGATTGGAGCCACAAACTCGAATGCGATCACAAACACAAAGACACCACACCAAAACTCACACGACATGAGGACATGACATTAACACGAACACACGACACGAGGGAATGACAGTTGTAAGGATCACGGGCCCAACTCACCCCAATCCTGCCAATGTCAACACTGGGAACACGGTAAGGGTCCGAGGATGCAAAAAGAACAACAGAGAATACGTCCCTGGCCTGCCTCCATCCGGTAGGCCAAGGCCTCTGGGACGTTAATCTGCTGGGAAGAGTTTCAGAGTCCACAAGTAGCAACACTTACCGTACAAAGATAACGGCCCGAAGGGTCGCGATCCTGACGCGTTGGGGCACCCAGACCCCGCGAAGTCAAACGAGAACCCTTTCTGCCGCGCATCCGGGAACAAGAGACCCTGCCAGACGTGCGGTTGGCTTAGGAAAGGAAGTCCTGCAATCGTCGTGCCAAGTCAGACATGTGAGCTTCCGCCAAAGGCCCACCTATTCGACGAAAAGCCTTCCAGCAAATGAGACTTGAAACCAAATTCGAAATGCAATGCTGCTGCCTTTTCAGAACAGCCGCACAACATGGCAAAACAGCGCCTCGCAGGCTTGCAATCTGACGACGTCGCTTGGATCTGTGAGCTGTTCTGCCAAAGTCTCTGCTGCCTGCAAGCGAAGAAGATCGCTGGGCTATTGGTGCTTGCAAGCCGGAAGTGTAGAGTTTGGGCCTTCCTTTGCATGCCTGTCGGCGTGCTTTCCACGCCCATTCCAGATAGAAGGAACGCAATCGCCTGCTCACAAATTTGGAAAGAACCTAGACCAGCACGGCTTGCAGGCCATAGAGTTGGGCGAGGGATTCTACAAAAAGCCATGAATCACAACCAACCCTCAGAATACCACGTCCCGCAACTCAAATTATAGCTGCAAGGCCTGTCAGGTTTCCGGCTTTGTGTAGCCAAAACATACCCAACATTGACCCTACAAGTACAAAATGGAATACCAGTAAAATGAGTGAAATGACTGACTAGACAAAACAAATCCGTCAATCCCAGCAACTGGACTTCCTGAAGGTTGGGAACCTCTTAAACGCGCCCGCCTCTGCCACACCTTTGCGCACAACGATGTGCGAGTCCGATGCCCGCTTCACCATGAATTCAAAGGCAGTTTCTGACACCTCAACGACCAGTTGACCAGCTCACGAAGCAACGCTTTTTCACAGGCTTTGTCAGAACGTGTGCCTTGGACAGACAAGCCCAGGCTGCAAGTCGAATCTCAGGCTGGTTGGCCGCAAGAAAGACCTTGCTGAGCAGATGACTGCTGCGAGACAGGGCTCGCCCTGATGAGTCGACGTCATTCAAACAGCTGTGCGTGTTGCTGTGTAGCGTGTAGCTTTAAAGTCGACTCATCAAATCTGAATTGCCGCCCACGGGGCGACCAGCACGTCCGCATAGGGCTCAATGATATGCTCGGGCGCGCCCTGCAGGAGGCGACAGGAAGCGCACGACAGCTGAACGCGGGCGTTCCGTGTTTAGCTCTGTCTGGAAACTTTGCAGCAGTGCCATGCAGTGCCTGCATTGCATCGAGCATGATTCTCTCCAGCGTGCCATTTTCGGGTTCAGCATCGACGTCTTCGCCTCCGTCCCTTTCCTCCTCTTCCGCCTCGCCTCCCTTGAGCAACCTGCTTCTGGCAGCTCGCCAAACGATTCCAAACACACATGCACAAGCGGCACCCATTAGCGTTATGCAATCCACTCCAGGTCACTGAAAGGCGTGCCTCTGCATTAACGCTTCAGCACCGGCTGCCCCAAGCGCAATCAGTGCTTTTGCAGCTGCCATCGCAACCGTGGTGTGGTAGTCCAAAAGCAACTCGACCAGATCACCTTGCAGAGTATGGACGAATGAACGCCACGATCTCAAAACGATTTGAGTCCATTTTTTGCCATCCACACTAGAAAACGTGTTCATTGATGTTGATACCAGCCTGCGTGCTTGGCTGCCGGCTCTCCAAGCTCCTCAGAAGACAAACCATGCTTCTGCAAACCATACGTCACCGTATTCTCCATGCAGTGCAGGCACACGTTCAACCAATGTGGGCTGAATTCTCCCTAAGAAAGGCCCATCATGAACATCCCGCTGTATCTTTCGGCAGGGCACCCCAAGGCTCGTGGCTGCAGCGCGCCGAACAAAAGGCTCCGCGTCTGTAAGCTTCTCGACCAGCAAGTTGGTCTGGGAAGACAAAGTACGGGCTTTTCCAAAAAGAGCAGAGAAGACTGAGGCTATTCAACTTATCACCAGACTGGCGGTCCCACACTCGCAGACAGACACTTCGATCTTTCCGGAGCCCCTGCCCGGCTCAAAGGTTGCGGCCTGCTTACATCCACATCTCGCCAAAGCTTCGCATGCATGCTCTCGCCTCAGACTTGCAGAATAGGGCCAGCTCGAACAGCAAGCAAGGGGCGGGCCAAGATAAGGTCTTGCTGACAGGGACAGTCAAGTCGCACTTTAGCGTCCGCGTCCGACAGCAAAGGCAGAAATGACTCTTCGAGGCTGTTGGGCCCCTGCCGGCATGCGTTAAGTAGGAAGCAACTAGCTCTCGAAGTTGCATGGCCTCCGCAATGACCATTAACGCCTGCGTTCCGATACACCGAAGAGAGACTTCTTCGGACTTTAAGAATTGAACCTTGGCAGCCATGGCAAGCGTGCTTTCAAGGGGGTGTCCACATGGATCGACATTGGGGAGACAGCTAAAGGCGGAATGGTCTCCTGATGCAATCTGCTACTTGGTGATCTTGGTGGCACATGGCTTCCAAGGCATGCCCCCTTCTCCTTCGCAGTTGGCCCAAGTTTGGACAGTGCACTGGCAGCGCTCCACCGCACCTGGCCATCATGAAATGCCGTGCCTCACATGTACCGGTGAAGCATGTGCCGCGATTAAAACACAGCAAAACTGCTGCCAATTGCCATGTGGGCTCCAGAGCCATGCGATGCCATACGTCAATATGATTCATATGCGTTTCTGGCTGTGCTGTTCCACCCAAGACAAGGCCCGAACCGCCAAATGGCTGAGGATTTCTAGGGTTGACCTCTATATTTGGGAGCATACACGGTGTGCGTGGCCCTTTACAAGAGGAAAGTCAGCTGAGGCATTGTCTGGTTTTTTGAAGCTGTGTGAACATTTATGAATGTGGCTCCCCGTGGCCTGCACGACCAATTTCTAGGATTTGTTTCCAGCGTTGACTCTTTCACTGCATCAGGGCAAGCTGCTCCCATCTGTCGAGGGCTTGTTCATTGGTCAGGACAACGCGGCCAGTTGCGGAGGAAGCACGCGCTTCATGGCGCGTGCCGCTTGACATAGCGGAGTCCCCTCAGCACAACCGAGCTCGAGCCTATCAAGTCTACTATTTTTACTTGGAGGGGAGTGAATGAATCATGGATCGGGGGAACCCGCCTAAGGGGGACCCTCAAATTGATTTTCAATAAAAGGCTAGCCTCTCTTTCGAGACTGCTGTATCATGTCTCTGGACCATGGCACCCTCCTTGCCACCCCCCTCCCATACCGCACACCCGCCCTCCACACCCAGCGACTGACCCGTCTGGCTGCTTACCCTTGAGACAGTTACGGTCCAGGGTTGGGAAATAGGGCTGCCACCACATGTCTTAGCCGCCGGCCGCTGAGGTGAAACGGTATATGCAGGAAGCCGGAAGAATCGCTTCCCTCCCCCACTTCTTTTGCTCCAATTTGTTTTTTGTTCTTTGACGCGGTACGAGGGTTGGTTTGTTTGGCAGCGGATTAAGGCACTCACGGTGTGTCTTTTGAGACTGTAGAGAACAAGGCAAGGGGAACAGGAAGAGGGCAGGGATGCGGGAGGTCAAGGGGAAGAGTAAGCGCAAGGGGAACGGAAGGGGGTGCAGTCCCCGAATGTGCGGTCAGACATCCGACCACGTTGTAGCCTTGCCCAGAAGCGGAGGCTTGCGGAGCGCCGTGGACGCAACACTCCGCAGCCCTCCGCAAGCCCTGCAACCCTCCATGCGCCTCCGAAGAAAACTCTGGAAGTTTTTTGGAAGCCTTTTGCGAAGGCCTGGGACTCCTTCCCAGGGCTTCCCGGTGGTTGGCTCTTTGCGCGCCAGGACCATGAAACTCCTGGGAGCTCCTAAGAAGCAACTGGCAAGGCTTCGTACGGAGCTTCTAGGCAGCCTAAGAAATTCCTTGGAAAAGGGTTTTTCAAGGAAGCACGGCTAGGCAGCTTGCCTCAGAAGATGGAAAATCTTTGGAAGGAGCTTCCTAGCTTAGGAGGTTTCTGTTTCCCTAGAGCGTGCTAGGCTCGCCAGAGACTGCCCAATCACGCGGACAACATGCTAACACGTTGCTTTATGTTGCTTTTGATGGTGGTCGCCAGAAGCCGTCGAATTACCCTAGTGAAATGCTGCGGTCTTCATGGGCAGGAGATGTTAAGCTGAAAATGTTCCATAAGACAATGACACTGCCACATCCACACATGGAAAGTTGAAAATCAGGTTACCACAGCACACCGATCACACATGCTTGGTTAGGCTTCGCAACTGCTTCCCGTGGCTGAGCCTTACTAAGGCCTACTGAGGTCTACTAAGCCTTACCAAGCCTTGCTAGTCTTTGCCGAGGCGCTTACTCGCTCCAACACGACATGACAGCTGCTTGTCCCTACAAGAAACTTCATTTGAGGGGTCCCCTTAGGGGAGTCCCCCTCAATCCCTTCTCAGTGAAAACTGCTTCTCTCGACTCATGCCGCACACGGCCGCACACGGCTCCTAGGCGGCACGAAATATTGACCTGGATTGAGAGGCAAATCTTAAGTCCTTCTACTGTGGCCGTCGGAGCCGCAAGCTCTTGGCCGCAGAAATGCGGGTCTCGGGGGCGGTTAGTTGGCGTATGCGACAGTGCTTGACTCTTGCTAGTGGCTTGCTCCCGTGTTTGAACAGCTACGACCCATCCTTGCGGGAGGCCCTATAGCCTTGCCTTGCCTGCTCTGCGGTGGGGCTTGCAGCATGTGGCGGCAAGGCATGGCATGTCCAGGTCTTCTTGTGTTGATCTGTTTGCAGCATCTTGAAGTCTAGTGAGTGGCACGGCCAAGCGAGACAATATCCTGACATGCGGCCAATGGTAATCACTTACTTTATGAGCTGTTTATGATGGCAGTGACCAACAGGTAAACCTGCCACAATCTGCCTTTGCTGTACAACTAAGGTATCTGCCGAGCGGGTGTCATGAGCAAGGCTGTCTGCAAGAATATCAGCATGCTTCGACGTTGCAGTGCCTGAGGTGTCCGGGTAGCCCGCACAACGTGATTCTAGCTAGCTGGCTGAAACAAAGACTGCATGCACTGTTCTTATGCCAGGGTTCCCAGTTCCGCGAGTGCGCTGGCCACTGGCGTCCAGTTCCAACTATCAATTCCTCAGATCCGAAGCTCACAAATGAGGACCCAACGATGTAGACATGCCCGAGCCTTCCAAAATCTGCGCCAAGGCTTCTGTATAGGGTCTGGCACTGGTGCCTTGCTGTGTCCAAGCTGTTGCGCAGTCAATGAGTGCAGTTCGACTGCTGAGGAGCATGCCCAGCTTGCCCAAAGTTTCCTGACCGAAAACACGTACATGAAGATTGTGCGTGCAGAGCAGGTCTACTCATCTCAAGGAAATCACAAAACCACAAGTCCTACATCGCAAGAAATTGCGTTTGTTCTGGAAGGCATGGAGAGAAGAGGAAGATTGCGCAGGGTAAGCTTCAGGTTGGACAAGCTTCGATGCACCGTCGCCGTGCCAAGGCGTCTCCATCATGAACGCCGGCAGCCAACAGCTCAACATGCTCAGCCACTTGGCCCGCCTGACCCGAATCTCAAAGGTTTATCTTGCACGCTGAGACGTGTTGAGGCTAGCTAACATTAGATAGCACTGTCTTCAGTCGGTGAGACAGCCCTTCCTGATGTGTAGCTTCACTTCATACGTTGAACAGAAGCTTGGCACATGTTCTGAGTCTCGTGCCATGTTTGCACTCGCCAGCTCTCCAAGAGCCTTGTCAGTCAAAGAGGCAAGCCACTTAGAATCCAGCTCGCATGAAGATTACGACTAGGGAAACGCACAAGAACAGATTGTTTGACCTACATATTTGTCTTGCATCTGTTTTTGCCTTGCGTCAGGCGAGCCTTGCTACAATGCTTGTTGTGGGAAAGGTCGCGCACCAGCATATGCCATTCTGGGCGCTGCTATGCATCCTCCCATGCTCGCTGAAACATGTTCTTTTTTGAATCTCGGTTCTGCCATGGCGAGAAATCGCCTCAGACTTGAGATCCCCGATGAATGTTAATTTCAAGCCCCTAAAGCACCCCCTGAAACCGGTCAAACCACCGCATGCACCATGAATCCATGAATGTGGAAATTGTCTCTGGGCAAGCTAGCCAGAGGCAGCCAGAGATTGTTGCCCAGCCAGGTGGGCGAATTTCCCAAGATTTTGCACCAAACGGGTGTGCAGAATGTTGTGCAGACAAGCTCCGAGAAGATTGTGACTAGGCATAGCGCCACGGCAGCACTGCGTCGCACCTCGGGAGCTTTGTCCTCTCACGTTTGCAATCAGGATCAATCGACTTAGCGCCAGAACTTGCACATGCAGTCACACTGACGGAGATAAGAATACCGCGAGCTAGGTGTGGTAAGTGGGTCCTCCAGGCACTTTGCTAGTGGAGCTATCCATTCGCGAGCTGCATCGCCCATTTTGCCCAGAGTGTCTATGGCAAGGACCTTGTCGGCCCACTGGTAGTATCAGCTTCGATCCATCAGGCCCGCTTAAGACCACTGCTCGGACATCCAGCCTGACGTTTTCGTCCAGAAGGGCTCCTCCACCAGCTCAAACTGCTCTATTTGTACATTCACACAATACTAAGGACGCTGCCCAGCGCGTTCGCCCCTGACACGCTGAGACTTCTCAGCGTAATCACAGCCTCGAGTCGCCGGCTCGAAAAATTGTGCCGCTCAAATCTCTTTCGGGACTGGAGTGAAAATCTGCTGCCTCCTTGCGCACCTTCGGCTCTTGCTCATGCAAGCAATGCGCAACAATTGTTGCTTGCCCAAAACTGTCCTGAAAGTAGTAATGGCAGCTGGTCCCGTCTTTGCTGAAGCAATGTTTGCTGAAGCAATGCATCTGTCCTCACCCAACTCCCTGAGCGCAGCAGCTGCAACCAGTCGACGCTGCAGCTGCGCTGCCTGCAATCTGTCGGAATAAGATGAATCATCTTTGCAAAGTTAAATTGACTCCGACAGGCTTTGTCTTGCCTTGATCTCATCGTCCAACATGTTTTGGGAATCATGAACGGGCGGCTCTGGATGCAATAGGATCGGCGTCACCGCAGCCGCGCCATCGGCGCCTCAGGATATGCACCGATGAACGCCCCGCAAAACGTCATACATACAAAATGCAAGAACTGATGGAGGATGCCATATCACAAAGCTCGACTGCTCGGCTCCATTGGCTCTGGAGCATAAACTCAGCATCTGCACCCATGGACTTCAGCGTGCTCACCTGAGATGGCGTCTGACCGCATGGGATGCAAAAGCATCATGCATTCTTCCTTGAGCACTTATACCAGGAATGGCTAGCTAGCCATGGCTACAATTAGATTCATCACCGCTTTGCTACAAACATCCACCAGCATCAACTTTCTCCGGACTGGTTGCTGCGGACTTCTCCAACTTCTCCGCACCGCATCCGAGCAGGCCAGCAACAATCGGTGCATATTGTGAAGCGGCCTTTGTTTGAACGACTTTAGGAATCTGAAGGTTGTCAGGTGGCTGCACCTCGCCTTGCCGAAGGCACCCAGAAAGTCGACCGCACGCTGTTGCACCTGGCTTATACGCGTCTGCCTGTCAAACATTCAAGCACCTCTCAGTTTTGTGCGCTGGGCGAGGCCTGAGGCGTGCTTGCGCCTTGACCGTGGCAGAGGGTTCAACATGAGTTGAGCTGTCACTAAACTAGGTCACAATTGTCTAGATAAGCTAACAAGCGCCCGGCTCTGAATACTCTCTGCTAGCTTTGCAGGACCAGCGGGACCAATCTGCAGAAAAACTACAAATGCAAGCGTTGCCTCCTGGACCAGTCAACGCTGACTACATGAGGAAACTCCAGGCCTTTCTGAGAGCTTCAAATGCCTCTTGCCACACCATTTCAGAGTCGTCTGCCAAGCGTTTAGCCAGTGATGCCGCGGAAGCACTGGCAAGCGGGATACACTCAGGAGGGCAAAGATACCAATTGCTACTCGCTGTGGCCTTGCATCTTCCCCAAAACGACCCAGCGCTTCCACACAGCAAAGCCGGACTTCCGGATCTGTATCCTGCGTTGCGAAAGTCAGTTGCTGCCACATCCACGCAAAGGAGAACTGGGAATATTAGGGCTTTGGGGCTAAAGCGGAACCTGACTAGCAAGCATGGCAGCACTTTACGCTCCACTGGCACCGGCTATCACGCAACAACTTTCGATCAAGCACGGACAAGCTGGCGTCACAGCTGATAGCTGCAGGGTGTTGAACTCATACGTAAGAGTTACATACATCGGGCCGTGCGACCACAGCCTAAGTGCCGTCAACAGAAGAGTTGCAATCCTGCGATCAAGGAAATGATGCAGGCTTCACTTGTTGGCTAGCTCACGTCGCGTATCTTTAGTAACTGGTCGGGCATTTCCATGGGCCCTATAGGATTCCTAAGCATCAGGTCTACTGCCAAACCTTCTGCCCAAAGAGGCTTACACTCCTGCAAGCTTAACTTCACGGAATCTGTTCGTATCACATCCACAAATGAGACGCCAAGTGCCCAAAAGCAATTGAACCTGGGCATGTGCCAGAATTCGATGGATTGCGTTCAAATTCTGGCTACACACTCGAATGGACTGAATTCCGGCGCGTGCTCCAATGCGCCGAACGCCTGGCCACGCTCTGGAACTCGCGCAAGAACCGTCCATACAGCGGGATGCGATGAAGTTACAGCCATGTGCTGAAGTGCCGTGAAATGTGGGCGTGGGCTAGGATGCGCTGAGCCTCTCGTGTGCTCTGGAATACTGACATTCAGACCAATTGGAGGGGCCCTGAATACAAACAATGTGGTTTGTCGAACCTTAAACACGCGCTTGAAAGACGGTCCGCGCAGGGATAGAGAAAAACATGGCATGCGCAGAAGGTTCGCTCGTGATGGAACATGTCAAGACAGGGCAATTTCCACCGGGCCTTGCACAAAACACGGCACAGATCTGTGGTGCTTCAGCTAGCTGAGTTTGCATGTCGCCTCACTCACTGAAACGGCCACTCTCTGCCCTTTGCAATGTTAAGGAAGTGCTCAGGCACATGGCCTGTGGCATGCCCTCGCCGCTGAAAGCCAGCCGAGGGATGCACTCGGGGATGGACACGATGGACGTCATGATGACTTGGACACTTGGACATGTATACTCTGGGACAGCATGAGCTCGCAGGACATTAGGCGACTTGTTCTGGAATGCCTTGGGAACCGTGCGTGCTCGCCGAAGGACGACTGTGGGCCTGCGGCGCGTTTGCAAATGGATGCGTTTGGGATGGCCATTATATGCCATCATCATGATTTGCGCAATTTTGGGCATGACCCTTCTGGATCCCTCTGGGAACGTCACACGCTCGCTGAAGGACGTTTTTGTTTAAAAATGATCTGGGAACTAATTATACACGCTCGGAGACTTATGGTTTGGACATGGATGCTGGGCCCTTAGCGTGCTTAGCCATAAGCCTCTTTGCTGGTTTAGCGGCTTCCGTGGATCTAGGGTGTTTTAGCATGTTTTTCCTCACAGCACAGTCGCCGTTCGCGCGCTGTGTATGTCAGCGTGTACCTGTATATATCTCTCATACGGCACTTCATTAATGTATATCTTTCATTCCTATGTATCCGCCGACCCCGGCTTGACGGGGCGAGCGCACAGTGAAGCCTGGTCCTCCCAACTCCCTCCGAAAACCGCCCTTGCCTCCTCCGACACCTCCTCGTGCGCTCCATGTCTTGGTTGCCAGCGTGGAAGGCGTTCTTAATCCTCTTGCCCCTGGCGGCCTCCATATCTCTTCCTCACAGGAAGACGCCCTTGTCGATCGGAGTGGCCCGATAACCACCATCGCTTGGAGAAGGGAGACTAGACTGGCCGGCAGCTCAATGCGCGTTTTGTCGCCACTAAGCAGGATCAACATCCTTCCTATTTGTTGCCTGCCCACCAGCCTGAATTAGTGCTCTCTTCGTTGTTTTCGCTCTTTGCGCACCAACGCTCGTGATTGCTTTTCAGGCAGTATGCGGTAGCTTGCCGTTCCAGAAAGTGGAGACGCCGGTTATCCTGAATCCCAACTCTCTCCAAGTCCAGTGCAGACCACGAACAAAATTTCAGTTGTCTAGCTCGAAAGTTTGGAGTTTTTTAACACTCGTCAAGGGCAACACGTACTGGGGAGGCCCAAATCAATGGTTCTAGTTTTAGGCATGTTTTGGTGCCCAAAAATAGGTCTTTTCGAACCCATGTGTTGTTCATGACAGATATTGCTGACGCCAACGCGGAAGTGGGGTTTGTTCAAGCTTCGTAGGCCTGTTGAAGCCTTGTTGAGGCCTGGTTGAGGCCTTGTTGAAGCCTTGCTCAGCCTTGTTGAGTCCTTGTTGAGGCCATGTTGGGGCCATGTTGGAGCCATGCTGAGGCCATGTTGAGGCCATGTTGAAGCCGGCCTCAATTATAATTCCCCTGTAACAGGCAGGATTCCAGCAATGTTGAGGCCTGCCGGGGTCTTTGGGCTTTATAACAATAATTATTANNTTATTAAAGGTTGATGGAACGGCGGCAGTCGCGTTCTTGCCTCCTTCGACAACTGGTGTTTTTGAGCGGCAGCCCCTAACCCCGCGCCCAGCCCTAGCGACCCCTGTCCGAGGAATCCCCAACCCCCTCCGCACCCCCTCCGGACCACTCTTGCCTCCCCCAACACCTCCAAAAAGTGTTTTTGAGCGGCTGCCCCTAGGCCCGCTCCCAGCAGCCCTAGCTGACACACTGCTCCCAGCCATGTGGGCGTGCTCCCATGTCACTCTGCCGGGGTCGGCGGCATTCCGGCAACGCCGCCGTGGTCCAGGGC